GGGTAGTATTGGGTCATAGTCACGGCAATTCGGTGATGTTTTCGGCACCAAATCGCATATTTCCCGATAAAATATGGCAGATGGAAGTAAATAACGTCTACAAAGGTGATATTTCACAGTAATAAAGAAGTATTTGGTTCATAACTGGATCGTATGGGGTAGTATCGGGTGGTATTGGGTAGTATTGGGTAATTAGACGCACCCACAACAAATACTAATTTGGGGAAATGTTTCTTCATGCCCTTTTATCAACAAAATCGTAAAATTTTCTAAATCAAAAACTAGCGGGAGCCCAATCTATAATATCCAATCAAATTCTAGCTTTCATTTGGGTTTCGGTATATCGCCAAGGTGAAGGACGCGACGTCGATCGATATCCGTCAATGCCCGTCCGTCATCAGTCGAATCTGGTATGTTGTTTGAAATAGGTGACTGACAAAAAATATACCGTTTGTTATGTCGTACCATTCTTACATCACGGAATCGGATGGGGTGCCTGCATATTATGTGCTTGCATTGTAACTGTCACTCTCATATTTGCCTCCTACAACAAGTGTAAAATGGTAAAAAAAGTGAATAACTACTGTACGGAAAACTGATTGTAGTAACGTAATGTTAACAATATGCAAAACGTTGGAAATATCCCTAAACGATGTGTATCATATGAATAGTCAGATCAAGAGAAATATCAGGTCCCTACATATTTTTTTTATTAAATTCTATGAAAATTCCTGTTGATATAAGGAGCCTAATCAGAGACTTATGATGTATTATACGTCTCTGGCCTAATGATAAAAATACATTGCTCTAGGTCTTGTGTCCCCTTGCCTCTGGGTTTGGTTTGTTTTGTGTTTTACCTCCTGGCAACAGACAAGGTCACATGTAGCCCGAATTTCCTCTGGCTCTGACACCAGACTTAGACAATCAATATATCTGTCAAAATGTCTTTAAGTCTGGTGTCAGGGCCAGAGGATTTTTAACTCGGGCTAGGTCACATGAAGATGGTGATCACGGAGGATTGAGATTCTCAAGGGCCACTTTCCTGTGCCAATAATTCTCACTGAATTGTAATAAACTGGACAAGATAGCGTGTCACTTGTCCTGGTCTCAGTTGTAACCATCTGATGATTCAAGCAAAGATCAGTTCCAATGGGTCTTACATCTGTGCATGCAGTGATGTAACAGGTTGTTTCGCCCTAAATCCTATTTGCGCTAAGGGTTGTTTTGCCCTAAATCCTGTTCGCCCGAGGTTGTTTTGCCCTAAAAAAAAAAAATAAAAAAAATTACGCTAATATAATAATTGATATTTAAATATATCAACTGAACTTATTGATAACTTTCTATATTGTTGTTAGATATATTTCTTGTGCGAGTGCGGAGTCAGCTTTTCACAGTTGCCGTTTGTCACACTCGCTTAAAAACAACACATACACATTTCCTTTTTCATAAAATTTATATAACAAGTATATATGGGCATGTGTTAATTGTCTAATCAGCATACATGAAGCATGTGTTAATAGTTTTGTCAAAATATTAGAAGCCTCTAGCTGTTTTATCCATATGCATTGCAGAATGTAAATTAATGGAACTCTGTTGCATTGTCAACATGTTGTCACCAAGGTTGATCACATCTTAATTGATCAAAGAAATGCTTTATTCCTTATATAATATACTGATCTGACCTGTATTTCATAACTTGTATTGCATCAGTGTACGTCCAACGCGTAATTGACAGCTGGGGCCGATCAAGGAATTTGCGAAAGTGGGAGAGTGCCAGATTTGTCTGATCACATGGTACCAAAGTCCATGCAGTTCAATCCAATGATAGGTCACAGTGAAGTCATGCACATCATGCCAATAACCATTCGACCACATTTATAATGTTTATGAGAACAAAAGCTCCCACCTCATTGTTTCGTGAATTTGTGCATGTCTATATCAGCGTGAAATTGTGCATGTCTATATCGGGGTGAATTTGTGAATTGCTCTGACAGATGGGCAATACTGATGGCTTGTTTCAGGTGTGTCACTGTCAGTCAAAGGTCACTGCTGCTACATGTGTCATCAACCAAATAAGTGTTGTCACTCTGGGGACTCCATTTTTTAGTAGATTTTGATGAACTTTTAAGCTGATATTAGTTGGCCATTCAGTGATTATTTTCGCCTAGTTTTATAGCAGAATACAGGCTGCTTCCCCTTACAAAAAATGTTTTATTTTCCCAAAATGAAGAAAAAATTATAATTATCTTCCTTATTTCAATGAAAATATTTCTATATTTTCCCAATTTATGTAGGAACAGGCTGCTGTAAAATTAAAGAAAAAAACACTGCCATTAGATCATTTATGTCTTACATTTTCTAGTCGTAAGAATAGGTGTATGCGTGTGTCTTGAATAAAATTTGACTTACTTATGAATATGGCCAAGTGATTTCCATTTTTGACCAATCATAGATGTTATATATATATATAAACAAAACAAAATGTAAATTTAAATGTTTTTTCTGAAATATATGTTTGTATAGAGTACATTTAATAGGTTACAAAATTTGAGTCTCGGGTAAATATGATAATTCATGAACAACATTTGATGTTTCCATTACATATACTCGTACTCAATATATAACTATATTGATTTGACTACCTTTTGTAGAATGAGACAGCTACTGTTGCCAGGCCTGGAAGGAATATCACACTGCTATGATAAAGATGGGATAAGAATATACGATGAATCTCGAGAAACCATCCTTGTTCTCAGAAGAGGTGGAAATCGAGGCGGATGATAATAATGATTTTGTAAGCAATTCATCATCTGCATCTGTAGTCCAATCTTTGGGGAAATCTGCTGCAGAAGGCTTATTAACGGGATCTAAAAATAATTCAACAATCAATAGTGGTTCTCCTACAACGCCAATTGCAAATAAAGGACAACAAAAGTTTACATACAACAAGGGCTTGATGATTAGACGCCTTGATGGTCAAGGACAAGTTGCTGGTTCTGGATCTTCAAATTCAGAAAAAAAGGATGATCCTCAGCCAGGCCCAAGTGAGGGACAACAAAAAAGTAGCACAAACATGAAATCTGGTGAGTGCTTATGAATACATTTATTCACATTGTTTTTCTGCCTGATTAATTTTCACATAAGTTTGTGAGGAAAGTCTTTCGTGAATTTGTAACCTTCCATGGATATTTATTATCATATTAAAATAACATCCTCTCCATCATTAATATTCTAAAACAGATGTACACCTTTAGGCAAAGATTTGGAATAAATGTACACAATTGAATTGCATTCAGATGTTTCTCGGTACATATATGTATGTACCAGTATGTATGATACAAAGACTGCTTAAAACTACCTAACTACATGTTTTGTGTGACTGTCCTGTGAAACGACAATAATCCAAATGTAAGAGAGGCAAATGTATCTTTGAAAACAGGTAAATAGAAAAAAAGATTTCTGATACAAACAATTTTTGTTGAGAAATTGTTTTGTTGATGAAATCAAATTTAATGGTCTCAACGCCATTTGAAAATGATGGTACAAGGCCTGAGCTGCCCAGTCTGTTTTTAGGCAGTCAACTGCATGTTTGTCATCATAATATACTGTGCATGGTTGCTATCTTACCTGTTAACAGACAATGAAAAATTACCAAATGGTGATGACACTAATTCATGTTTTCGTGTTAAGTGTAAAAGGTACCACTGCAATTACAGTGAATTGGCCAGCCTCGGTTCATATACATTTTTTTCCACATAATCGGCCTGTTATCCAGTGAATTTGCTCGTGTAATACTTTTACATATGTCACTAGTGCAATATACCCTGGAGCGTTTTACATTGGCTGTGCCAGTCAGAAATCGATTGTGACATCATGATATGGACAATGACGTGACATCATGATATGGACAATGACGTGACGTCATATATTGTGAATGGCGCAACAAAAATGAAAATATCTGTTTCCGTCTAATTAAGCCCTTTACATTTTGGCTTTAAAACCTGTCTAAATGTCAGTTTTCTGAGTTATGTGATAAAAAGTATCTTAAATTTGCTTTCATTTCATATGAGCTTTTATGAAACTCGTCTCAAAGTTTTAATTTTTGCTCGCCAAGGCTCGCAAAGATAAAAACACCAAAGACTTGTTTCATAAAATCTCATATGAAATGAAAACTCATTTAAGATCCTATATATATTATATTACTCACACATTTTCATCTCAGTATCTAGGGAGTGATTCTCTTTTTAGTCACATGATGATTATGAGGGATCTTTTGTTAGGAAGAACAATACCTTGTTTAGTCAAAATGTTGAGGGGGAGAAATTATACCCGAGCTATGTACAACATGTAGCCTGGTATTGTCTGGAAGCAATACCTGGTGTAGTCTAAGTATTAAGGGAGATACATTATACATG